ACCACAGTGTGATGGCCTGGGATTCCGATTCTGAGAGTGAACCGGAGGAATCCCAGCTGGCACAGGAGTCCCCGCCTCCAGGGCCGGCTGAACTGGGGCAAGGCCTAGATTCTGAGGAGCCTGCACCTGTGCCAGATCCTCAGGAGCAGGCACCAGGTGAAACCATTCTGGCCCCAGAGGTGGTTGAGGACTCAGTGTCTACAGGTGAGTCTCCCCCGGGGCCCAGTAACCCTTCAGCCTCTCCTGAACTGCAGAGGCTTAGGGCAGAGAGGCGAAGGGAACTGGTTTCTCCCAGGAGGAGTGCTCGCCTTAAGGCCAGGAGAGGCGGGGCTTCTGGGGGCCGGGACCGCCCCTGGCCTTAGAGAAGATAAAGGTCAGTCAGCCCGGTCCCAGGTTGCGGGAGCAACGTCGTTGTGGAGTACCTGCTCTTACCCGGACCTAGACCTGTACTTCCAGTGTTCCTGTTCCTCGCCCGGCTTCCTGCTTCTGACCTTCCAGCGTTCCTGTTCCCGCCCGGCTCCCTGCTTCGGACCTACCAGTGTTCCTGTTTCCTCGCCCGGCTTCCTGCTTCTGATCTTCGAGTGTTCCTGACCCCGCCCGGCTCCCTGTTTCGGACCTCGCGTCTCATCTTGTGAACTTCTACCAGGCTAGTGACTCAGGACTGAACTTTGGCTACGGTAATAGTACCTTTCCCCCCGGGGCCAGCACACAGAGCCTAGGACTTGCCGATCAGAAGATTGGAGGTTTGAATCCCCGTGACGGGGTGAGCTCCTGTTGCTCGGTCCCTGCTCCTGCCCACCTAGCAGTTTGAAAGCACCTCAAAGTGCAAGTAGATAAATAGGTACCGCTCCGGCAGGAAGGTAAACGGCGTTTCCATGTGCTGCTCTGGTTCGCCAGAAGCGGCTTAGTCATGCTGGCCACATGACCCGGAAGCTGTACGCTGGCTCCCTCGGCCAGTAAAGCGAGATGAGCGCCGCAACCCCAGTCAGTCACAACTGGACCGAATGGTCAGGGGTCCCTTTACCTTACCTTAAGGGCCAAAATAATGTTTGCATATGCAGGCAATGCTGTTTCACTGTGTTCAGACAAAAAGACGCTGCCTTAGAATGAGTTTCCAACTAACTCTACTAGAACATCCATTAAATACTTCATGAAAGAAAGAAAAGAATGATTGGGAGCAAATGAAGGAATATTTTGGTGGATAAAATTAAAGACAGCTAATGATTACCTCCAAAGTCCACACACACACACAAAAACCTTCCACTTGGGTCTTTCAAACCTCAGAATGAGTTTTGAAAGGTTGCCATCATTAAGGAAAATTAAATATCAACATCCTTTGATTGAAAACTAGATGCCCAGTATTAGATTACACAGTATCATTTGGACAAACAGCATTCTCCAAACAAAACCAAGATCAATTGTGTGATAGCATATATACATCTCTGGGTACTAACCAGTAAGGAAAATGTATCAAATGTGCAAGAGCGTATCGAAAGGAAAACCTTGCAAAAGCAGGACAGCGTTTCTCCACAATCTTAAGCATTCTTGAGATCTCATTTGCTGTAAGTTATGGGATAGCTAGTTACTGCATCATCAAATCTCTGCAGCTCTTTTTGAGCTGACAGGGTCATATACTCATACACTCATACAGATAAACTGGTCAAGAGCAGAACGTAGTTTAGAGAGGAAGGCCATGCCGCACTGAAATAGGACTCTTACAGGATATTGTTCTTTTTGAATGCTTTTATTTAACATTCAATCTCTGTTAAAACTCCCACTTTATTGCTTCATTAGCATCTATGAGATTCCAAGTGAGTTCAAAAGGGGAGGGGGTGGAGAGAATGAGCACATTCAAAATAGACTTTATTGTGTGACGTTAACTCCAGACTTATTAGACTGCTAACACATCTGTACATTAAGAGGCACTTCAGACATTAACCATGTAACAGGCTAACAATAAAAGCTCAACCTCCAAAAAAGGTTTTCCCAACGCCTGCATGCAAAAACCAGAAAACTGGCACAGCTACACCTATAAACTAATTTGTATTTCAACTGCCTGTCAAAATCACTAGTTCCTGAATCGGTATATCAAATTATGGTAGATCATTTGGGCGCACACCATTTAAAAGGGTAAAAAATAGTACTTGATTTTCCAGGATGTGAGAAACTTCTCTCAGTTCTTTGGTGTGAGTTACGCACATGGCAATGCAATTCTGGAGCACAGCGAAGCAGGACTGTTAAAATGTGCTGTTTGACATTTCTAGAGAACAATCACGACAAAATATCCTAGTAGACTGTGCTCTTCTTATTTGACGTGTTTTGCCATTTCACCCACGTGGACGGCTTTGTCTCTTGTTCAAGAACTTCCGGAGCCCCCACCCTTCCAAAAGTACCAACCATTCTTAAAAATTAGCGGGGGGGGGGGAGAGGGAGGTGAGACACCAATTCAACATCAAGTTCTAACGGCTCAACAACTTCAGATACCAAAACCAGCAGGACAAGCTTTGTGCAAGGGTAACAAATAATAAGATTCTGCAGTCTGCTTCCGCAACTCTTGTTAAAGCACAGCAGTGGATAATTTTCTTTTAAAATCAAAAGCCTGATTTCAGCTACACTGCTCCCCTTCAGCAAAAATCTTGAGAGCTCTTCAAAACTCTGTAGAGAAAGTATTACACTTAGAAGACATAACCAACCACCAAAAGGAGAAGGCTGGTGTGAAGCTGTGTAGTTTTAAAAATGTCTAAGCAAGAATACACTCCACTTAGCCACTTCTTAATTATTTTAAGGTATGAAACAGCAAGAGGAAACCCAGCTCCTCCACCTCAAAAATATGAAACTTATATGAATTATAGAAGAAGGTGATTTCCTTTTACTCCCCCACAAAAGTCCCTGGACCTATTTACCTGCAATTTGGCAGGCTTTATTGATTTTGGAGGAGCTCCTGTGCATTTCATTCACTTTGGTCAAAAGGGGGAAACGATAATAGCTGTTTTTAGATTCCTCATAATAGTGAATGGAGAAGACAGAGCTTCAGCAGAGTGACTCACAACCTTGAAACACAGATCTAAATGGAGAGAGCCAGTGCGTCTCAAACACTGGATTTTTTTATATAAAGAAAATGCACACAGAATCATAAAGTTGTAAGGGACCTCAAGGGTCATCTAGTTCAGCTCCTGGCACTGCAGGAATCTCAGCTTAAGCTTCCATATGCAGATACAGAGTGAATCTTGGGGCCCACTCACACTCCTAATAACTTCTTCATGTTCAGCTGAAGTCTTATGGGAACACAGAATTCAATTCAGGTACCTAAAATAAATAGGTGGAGAAGTTCTCCAGTTGCTGCACACAGGTTGGAAGGGATCAAAAAGACTGTTTCTAAGTCTTTAGCCAGTAAGGAAGGGGCAGAAATGAACAACCGAATATGTTTTGACATACAACATAATACTTTATTATCCTTCTGCCACAGCATGCAAGCATTGTCCCTGGACTTTTGCTTTTGGCAAATCTCTGGTTTTGTAAGCTGGAACGATTGGCATGTTGCCTTTTGTTTTTTTATTACACTACTCAAATTCATGAGCTTTCAACTTCAGCATTTAGAAAAGATAAGAAGGTACATGTGATCTTTATCTACTAGACATAGTTGTCCCTTGCTAAATTTTATTTTTTTATTTTTTTTGTCTTCCTCCAAGGGTGAATTATGACCCTGGCTGCAGAGACTAACCTGCTGCTTTTTATAATGGGCTGGCTGACTCTTTCAGAATCAGATTTATTCACAGGACATCTTTGCAGCCTACAATGTTGCACAGTAGGCCAGGCCGCATTCCTCATGGATAGATCTATTTGTAAGAGTATCAGTTTGTCTCTCTTTAAAGCAGACTAGGTGGCTTTCCTACAAGGGCATCCACTCATAGAAAATTTCTCCCAATTGCTATATTTTCATAAGAGGCTTTGGTGACAAATTTGAAGCCTGTTTTCACTATCATGACTTGAGTGTTTGTTTGGTTTTTTGCATGATAATGGAAAGACGATGGGTGGGCATACCACCATCATAAGGTGGTGATGCAGAAATGAGACCTTGCGTATATGGTGGTAGAGCAGGGGTTGCTAACCTGTGATCTCCAGGTGTTCTCATTGTTATTTATTAAATTTATATCCCAACCTTCATCCCAAGAGGAGCCCAAGGTGGCAAACAGATGATCAAACATTGTTGTTGGGACTCTAGCTCCCATCAGCCCAAACCAGCATGACCCAGGGATAATGGGAGTTGGGGAGTCAACAGAGGTCATAGGTTGGCCACCCACTGAGGTAAAGGGCACAAACATTTCTAGCATGCGAGGAGGAACTTGGGCCGGTTGGCAATTTTTGTCAAGGGCTTTTGGAAGATACAAATATGCACACACACCTCATCGGAGTTTGCACTGAATGTGTGATGGGAACACAAACAGCACACTTGTCCTGACTCATGACCTAGAGACAGTGCAATGCATGGTGGATGACTGTGATAATGATGACGTTCAGGTTACATAGCCCTGCAACCATTCTCTGACTCATAAAGAGTCCTCTTCTGTGTCTGTTTTTCACGTTTCACAGGTGCCAATGGCTACCAGATAAGGCCATGGTCTTTTAACTAGTCAGCCAGCTCCTCCAGGGAGGCAGAGTCTACAAAAGTTCACCTTGTTGTTGTTGTTTAGTCGTGTCCGACTCTTCGTGACCCCATGGACCAGAGCACGCCAGGCACTCCTGTCTTCCACTGCCTCCCACAGTTTGGTCAAACTCATGTTCGTAGCTTCAAGAACACTGTCCAACCATCTCGTCCTCTGTCGTCCCCTTCTCCTTGTGCGCTCTCCATCTTTCCCAACATCAGGGTCTTTTCCAGGGAGTCTTCTCTTCTCATGAGGTGGCCAAAGTATTGAGCCTCAGCTTCAGGATCTGTCCTTCCAGTGAGCACTCGGGGCTGATTTCCTTCAGAATGGATAGGTTTGATCTTCTTGCAGTCCATGGGACTCTCAAGAGTCTCCTCCAGCACCAGAATTCAAAAGCATCAATTCCCATATAATCCTGCAGTTGGTTCTAGCTTGCTGGAAAGACAACTTCTCTTGCAGCTGTCCAAGGTCCTGTACCCTCCCTACTTGACTTGGACTTGTAACTGGATGTTGCTTGCTTCCCCTGTGAGCCTGAAGCATCCACAAAATTGGAACCACTTAGAACTAATGGTTAAGTATCTGGCCTTAAGTAAGGGCAGCTCAACTGTGAAATACAAAGCTTGCGGGGGAAACTTTTCAGAAGTACACAGAAACTGGCAAATACACAAATGCAATGTTTAAGCAAAAGTACAAACAGATGTAATGTCTTTTAACACAAAAGTACATGCTGTTATTTTTCTAGCTAACACAGAACTAGTACACAATTTCAAAGAAATAAAACATAAGTATCCTGAGTCATTAAGACAGGAAATGCAACTAAGCATCAATGGAAGTTGATTAAATAATTCATTGATCACATGCTGTGACTGACTGATTATATCATGCACCCAAATTTCTTTTGGTATTACAAATATGTAATGAAAATATAGTTATATTTTCACTGACTGGAGGTTTATTGGCAAAGGCACTGATCTAAAACATTATGGCTTTTTAGCATGAGAAAATGCACAGAGATTTTTTTTTCATTCCATAGCTTTCCATCCTCTTCTATTTTCTGCAGAGTTTGTACTGGAAGGAATATACAGTACATTCATCATGTGAACAGCACTTTTAGTTTGCAACAGCTGCATAATCACTTCATTCATTGTCAAACTTGTAATGCAGGTCCATATTATACCTATCTTATGGAGAAAAAATGTGGGTTGGAGTCCTGTTACCCCTCTTCATCCCAAACCACAATGTTCCAATGTGTTTTTATCACAGTGCTTATTCAGACAAAAAATATATTCTGGAAGATAATGGTTAAATAATGCTGAAATCCAAATTATTCTGCAGCCAAGGGTCTTTGTGGCCAATTCTATTGATTAATAGACAGACAGACAGATTTGTACCTGCACTGCTATTATGATACAACGTAACACGGCTCTGGGTTTCATCTGTCAAGTAACACTGTGCTTATTAATTTAAAATGCTTAAGAACCTCCTGCAGCTTCAGTGTGGAAGCAAAAAATGCAATGTGAATAGATGTTAGTATGTACTTCTTTTGACTAGAAATGCAACAGGTGTTAGAAGTTACAGGCTTTTTGGTTCTACCTTAAAAAAAACTTAATACTTTTTTTCTAAGAAAAAATAATAATTATGTAATCTGAAGTTCAAAACACATTGTTTTGTGTAATCTATGGCTCATAGCACATTATTAGAGCATATATGATTAACCAGAAAGACATGTCACAACCTAATTAAAAATGTTTCACACACGTATGAAAGTATGTTATCTTGAGACTTTTACTAAAATAATATTTATTCTGGAGTACTGCCACACAATTCACATCTCCCTCAAGCCTATAAGTTTTCCCAACATAAATGAAAACTATACTGTTGATAAAGATAGAATCAATATTAGCATTTTATAAAAAGTCTATTGTGAGAGCTACTTTGCAAACAAAAATTGATTTATAATGGCCTGATCATTATTAAAGTCCACTTCTATGGTGCACAATCTAATAAATAACAAGCTAACAAAAACTTTACATAGTTCTTCTTGATCTAGTTCTAATGGCACAGCATTATTAGTTTCTCATGTATCATGTTCCCAGATACAGTGTGTTGAAAGATTTATTCATCTTGAGTTGTGCCCTAAGGTAATTGGGTTTTTAAAGAACCTGAATTCTACAATTATATCCGTACCAAGAAAAGAAAAGAAAAAAGAAAAGACAGAACAGCCATCCTTTTAAAACTGACAAGAAACACTGAATCCCACGATTTAGGAATTTGTGTTTTAAAAGCTATTACGTTCATTTCCCTCCTTTTTATTTCTATTTTTTTTGTATTAGCCCTTCAAATTGCAAATGCTCAACTGTCACAAAAGATCAGTGTTAGTGAGCCGCCAACATTAATCTTTTGTTTGAAGTGTATGAAGACAGACAAATAAAGGAAACATCACTAAATATCATCCCGAAGAAGCAGCAGATATTGAAATGGTAAACAACAACCCATGAACACTAGTTGCAATGCTATTGGGTAGAAGAAATTTCTAAATATCAAAGATAGCGGCATCATCGTCAGCTGGTCCATAAACAAACAATAGTCAATTGACAACATTGGACCTTTTCTTCCTTGCTATACTACTGTAAATAAACATGCTCCCCTTGCCTGTCTGAATTCTACATGCCCATTTTCAGAAATGCCGCAGCAGATAAGTAACACTGTCATGTCCGTTTTGTCAAGTACATGCTGATGATCCTTTTCGATCTGCAGTTTGGGAACATTATCAAGGTCAGGAGCAATAGCTCAGAAAAGCCCTCCTGATGTGCATATATCTAGTAATTTCTGCAAGAAATAAATGGCACAATAATAATGCACAGTAAATCAAGTGCTTCTCTCTCACACGCACAAAAATTCAAAAGGCTCATTTTAATAAAAACCTTTCACATTGCACAAGGAAGGCATATGGAAGGCATCTAGTCAAATGCGTAGAGTGCATTTGTGTATATTATGCATGTACAAACCGTCGACATCAAAATTGTTTACACTGCCACACTTTGAGTTTATCATCCTGAAGTCAAACTTCTCTACGTGTTGGGCAAATGCCCACCTCTTTCAACTCCTCTGACCTCCACTTGTGTGTGTGTGTGACAAATTGGTTGTGAGGCATTTACAACTGATGCACATATCACAAAATTATTTCTGCCAAGCTTCCTCCATGACCTGCCCGTGGGACATGACATGCTCTGAGACGCATTGCTCTATCAAACCGAATCTTTCCAGGACAATGCAAATTATGACAAATTCCATCATCCTGCATTATGCGCTTCATGCTAATCTTCCTAATTCGAGAGAATCGGGAGGGTTTGCTGTTCCGCTGAAGGGCACGTTGTCTGATTGAATGATGGTGAAAGAATGTTTGCAAACCCACCCACCCCCCATCTTCTAATCCCAGCTGTGGCCACCTCTGCCCTACAACCACCATCCAACCTTTTCTGCTATTGAATTTCCTGCTCAGAATTAATTCAGGATCCATGTGGTCCTTTTTGTTGTTGCTTCAGCACATAATAAAATATCGCCAAGGATTATGCTGTGGTCTCGGAGTTAAAGGGTATTTTATTTTTAGAACAGTATTCTGAAACAAATGTTGCCCACCGAGTCTTCCTGCTGACTTCTCCTAGGCTGTCAGGCTGTCACATTGGGAATGCAGCTTTGCTGATAAGTTAAACCGTCTCCCATAGTGGCTTTTGAAGCAATCATTTCAATGATAGGATTCAGGCGATTTCCAGTCTCAAACACTTTTGACTTTGGGATGTTATGCTGCTGGCTCAAAGCAAACAGTCAACCTGCAAGGCGTTTCTTGAAAAAAGTCTCCAAGAAAACATGAGCCTCAGACAATTCCTCGTCGATTCAGAAGGTGGCAGTATTACTACACAAAATAAGCTGGTCAGACATCATATTCGAATCCCATCTAGCAGAAACAAACATATTTAATTCCCAGAGATACATATATTTTATCCCTTGGCATAATTTACTTATAACATTAAAACTCAAAAATGAAACAATTTGCAGCAATAACCATGATTATGATGTTAGTGGCATGAATGTTACCGGCCAGATTAGACTAAAATATACCTAGAACCAAAGATCAGGGGAATTTTATTATTTATTTTTAAATCATTAGCAACATCATCACTGGCAGAACTTGCATGCCTTAAATGCACCCTCAGCTGGAGGTGGGTGAGAGAAGAAATGGTTTGTTGGGACAGAAAGACTGAAATAACACTGTTTGTATACACACACACATATATACACACACATACACAAATATATATACAGTATATATATATATAGAGAGAGAGAGAGAGAGAAATGTGCAACATAATTTTTCTAAGAAAGCAGCAACAATGAAAATCTTTCCTTACAGCCACACGGGAAATAAAGACAAAAACACCAAAACAACTTACGTACCTAGAAATGTTACATTGTAGTTAAAACTTTCCTGTTCTTTAAACAAACTATCCCTATTACAAAGCTGGATTTATTATCATCAGAATTCTAAAACAGCAGAACTCTACAAAACAATCTAACTTCTTAATTACTTCTTCATTAGTGATCTGTTTTATTTCAAGCAACACTCTTGTCCAGGTGAAAAATGAACTTCCTATCGAGTTTATTTTTTGTTTGGTAGTGTAAAAGAAGGCATATAGAAAATTAGAAGCCCTCAATATTTTAAGCCACGAGGAAGAAACGAACATTTCTCTTTCATTAGCCAGTGCAGCTGATGGTGAAGGTTTGTTCTGAATGCCACAGATATGATTCCTCTTGGGCTGCTACTTTAAATCTGAGCTCAACGACTTCTTCCGAATAACGAAGCACAACTCATACTTCCTCTCTAGGTGAGCAAGCTTTCAAGACACGGACTTGAAGCAGCAGCTCAAATATGGGCAACTTTTGATTTAGCATTTGCATGCCAGGCTTTAAAGGGAATCTTGCGTAATTGGTTTGATGTGTTACTGAGTCTTTGTACATGCCTAATAAATACATAGCAGAGAGCCACATTAAAGTATTAGTAAGAAGAGACAGGGAGATCTTTAGCTTTGTACTTCATTCCCAGTGAGGCTCAAACCCTCAGAGGTAAATGACTATGTGAGCACCCTTTCAGAAAAGGCACCGGGTACACCCTGCGCATGCTGCAGCTTGTTGACATGAAGCAGGGCAGGCAGACACCAATAATACATGAAGTGTGGTTCAGAGGCAATTAGGATCAGTTGTCAAGGCCAGGCCATTAATGAAAGAACATGTCAGAGGAGCTGGAGACTTCAATGGTTGAGGGCAAGAAGGCGATTTAGTGTGACAGATCGAGTCCTTCCAATGTCCTCAGTGGTACATGCTAATACCAGCCTTAACAACCTTTTGTGGCAGTGTATAATGCGACTAACATGGACTTTGATTCAGCAAAATGACTGCTGCCACTGTTAGTCTGTCTCATTCCAACAACAGTAAGAGCACTGCTTCAAATAATTACCCACTTCCTTCTCCCTCCCCCTTTCTCCTTGTCTAATGCAGTGGGCTTTTATGCACGCCATACAGTTTTTCGCTAGAAGGTCACAACACTTGTCCTGCTGTTTGTTTATGCAGTGTTCTTTCCTTTTTTAAAAAAGAAGAAGAAGAAGCTGAAATATATTTAAAAATGCTGCCTCGGATTAAAATAAAATTAAGAACTCAGCCTCTACTGGCTATGGGCGAAGTCAAGTGCAGGAAATCAAAGCAAGGAAACACTGTCCTATCTGTGCAATCCATGGGGCGAGGAGCAAAATGTTACTGGCAACATCTTCACCCGGTCCTTGGGATTAAAAGCAGAAGGGATGTGCCATCCTTATCCAAATGAGATGCTGGATCTGTGCCTCTGCACTGCTGCCCATTTTGATCATAAATGGAATCAAAACCGAAGGCAAATCATTTAGAAGGAAACGTACCTTCGTGAAAAACTGTTAATACTTCTTGCAAGGACGTACTCAAAGCAGCCTTATTTGAATATGTGTGGAATGAAAACATTAAAAGCAACTCAACTTATTATTTCGGCCCCATTCTTTCTTTTTTGCTGTTTTAAAATCATAATACTTGCCTCATTTCTCTCCACAGTTTAAACCTATTACCCCATTCTACAAATATTTGCTTCTTTTCACTGCCCAAATATGCTCTTCTTATGTTTTCCTGCCTAGCTTATCCGACATGTAATAATCATATAAAAATATACTAAAAGGCAGTGAAGTTATTGTAACCGGTGAAAACAAAACTGTATATTTGATGGAAGTGGCCATTCCTTGGCAGGGTACATTCAAGCATGGAGGCAAAAGACAAAAACAACAACAACAAAAAAACCCCTCACATTGATCTTTCTTCTTTGCTCCTCTCCTTCCTTCCTTCCTTCCTTCCTTTCTTTCTTTCTTTCTTTCTTTCTTTCTTTCTTTCTTTCTTACCTTTGGTCAGATGGGCCTATTTCTATCACTTTTGTCATTTAGCAATGCCTTGACTGACCTTTCCAGAGGCAATACTTAGTTATGAATGACAGGAAAGGCTGTTTCTGGTGGGATGGTTTTGCTCCCCCTCTGGTTTATTGTCACAATACCCTGCCTTCTGTCATTTTTCTCTTCCTGTAACTTTTCTTCTTCTTCCTTTAAGAAGTATGTGCACTCCTGAGGAAGTTTCTCAATGGTAGTTTAAATACACAAAAAATAAAACTGACCTATAAACTCACAGATGCTGGGTGCAATCCAGAATGAAGCTCATATGAATACTCTTAAACACCATCCTTGGATGGTAGAGGATTCATTCCATTTGATAAAGTGAATGAGGACATTCTATTAATTCCTACTTACCTATGGTGAGCGAGGGGGTACTTTGATTTTTTAGTGGATAGTAGGCAATGAATTGATGCTTCCAGGATAAATAATCTCTCAACTCACCCTGTAACCTACAAGGTAAGTTGGGAATTCTTAGACTCTGCATATTCACTTCACTGAATGGAATGAATCCCTTCTGAATCAATGCCTTGCCCCAGCTCTTATTTTTATTCCTGTGTGCAGTTTCACTGATGCCAAGTCTGTGAGACTTATTAAGAACACCAAGACTACATTCATACCAAACCTAGCAATTCAGTATAATAATGAAATATCGGAAAGGCTGCTGTATTATGTTCAGGATAAGCAATGCATTCTACTCACAGGTCTTCAAAATACAAATTCTCAACCCCACCCCACCCCACCTATGTTACCTCTGGTCCCCCCCCCCAAAAAAATATGTTAGACACTTGGTAATGTCAGCTGATGTTTCCCATTTTATAGCAGAGATGAACAACCTCTGGCCCTCCAGAGGTTGTTGATCTCTAGCTGCCATTAGCCCCAGGCCAGCATGATCAATGCCCATGGCTGGTAGACTTCCAGCCCAACAATGTCTGGAAGGGTAACAGGTTCACATTCCAGTTGTAAAGGATTTCCTCATCGCTCTTTCCTCACAACTACATGAGCTTTTCAGCAGACCTAGCACCAGCTCTTGGTTCCCAACTGATTCTACCAACAGTCAGCATCCTCTTATTTCACCTTCATCTTTTGAACTCTACATAATCGCTTCAAGTGGGCAAATGTAGAACTCAAGTTACTTGTTTGGCTAACATAGAGCCCAAGACTGCAGATCACCTTCAACAATTGTTGAATACTACTCTATGTAAGAAATTGTTACTTCAGATGTGGGTGGCCCTGGTTTGCTTGATCCACCTGAGTTTGTTATTATTCTATCTATCTATCTATCTATCTATCTATCTATCTATCTATCATCTATCTATCTATCTATCTATCTATCATAGGCCATGTGGTGCCCTTCACGTGTCCTTGGACTCCTATGTCCCATCAGCCCCAGCATGGCCAGTGGTCAAGGATGATAGGAGCTGTAGACCAGCAATATCTGGAAGTCACCTCAGTGGCTACTTCTTATATACTGACTCAGAGGAAATCTACTGAAATTAATAAACATGCCTATTAATTTCAATGGGTCTTCTCGGAGTAAAACTTAGTTAGACACCACTCAAAGACCACATTTGCAGCTTTCATTTACATTTAAGATGCTTCTTACAGTGTTGTACCACTTTAACCGTAATGGCTTCCCCTTTCCCCAAAGAATCCTGGGAAGTGCATTTTGTTAAGAGAGTTAGGAAATATCTATTCCCCTCACAGAGCCACAATTCACAGACTGAAGAAATGATTGTTAAACCACTCTGGCCATGCTCAGGGGACTTCTGAGATATGCAGATGTTTGAATTTTATTTATTTTTTTAAAAAAAGTAATTAAAGGAGGGGAGGAACTTATGGCTCAACGTGGACTGAGGTTGCTAAACGGAGTCATGTTGGAAAAGAAAGCTGGAAAATGGGAAGAGTGAAGGAATTGTATTGATTAAGCACTTAAAAGCTTATTACAGTGATCTGGAAGAGACATGCCTGTCCAGCTAGACCCCAGAACTGACTCAGTCCTGGGGATGCACAATATCCTTTTGTTGCAGATCCTACTTGTTCTTTATATTTAGGAAGTTTTGCTCACATCTGTGGCAAGTCTACTCTCTCAGCTTGTTTTTCTGAATATTCGCAGAAGGAGCATATTTATTAATTATCTGACTCCAAGTCTGTGTAACACTAGCAACTGCTTCATCATTGAACCTGCCAGCTGAGTGCTAGTGTTCCAGTATCTAAAATGCTGTGCTATTCCTTCTTGACATAAATGTTCCCAGCAAATGCAAATTCTTCAACTTTCATTTAATGGCATAGGTACTATTGCTTCCTTTTGTAACTAAGCATTTCTAAATTGTATTCTGCCTCAATAAAGTCAAACTTAAAACAGGGCTTCCTAATTTATTAATTCATGCTTTAATAATATGTTGCTATGCGGATATGGCAATAAATATCATTAAAAGCATTAGGA